TGTATGAAAGTGGATGATCGGCCACGCTCGCACAGTTCAGAGCCCGCCGGACTGGGCGTGGTCGCAATTGGGCCGGCCAAGTCGTGGTTAGCTCGCCTGACAAGGTGCCGTTTGGACAGTAAAGCCCTCTGACCTTGGTCATGCGATACATAGCAACGTGAGGGTCCAGGAATGTCCTCAGAAACTCAATTAGGGACGGCTCTCACACTGTACAAGGACCTGCCGCCATGGCACCGGGGTTGCTGCTGCACCACGGTCGTTTGCCCTGAACGCGCTTCTTCGTACAGCCATTTGCCACCTAATCACTTTCCTCTACCCAGCTCCATGCTCCCTGCGACCACCAGATCCTACGCTGCGTACAACTGTGCTCCTCTGCCGTATTAAATGTCACTGAGCTCGCCTCGCAACAGCCGAAGCCACACCTTACCTCCGCCATCCACTATTCGCTATGTCCCAGTCTGGTCTCATTCAAGCTATTTTAGCAAGGAGGGGCGCGGCGGAACCGCAGCAGCATCAAGCACGAAATGCGCCCGCGCGACTGTCGCAACATGGGATCAGGAAAGCGTCGAACAGCGGCATATTGTCGCGACCAGCAAACAACAGCCTTTCAAACCCTTCAAGTAGCTTTGCGGCGCAGCAGATGACTCGTCATGCGACTCTTTCGTACGCAGACGCGCACGGCGCGGGCAACGTGTGGTATAACGACTTGCGCTGTACTACTCCGTTAGGGTAAACTGCTGACACGATCTAGGGCAGCAGAAAGCGGCGAGCTTAGTTCTTTCCAAACGAGGCTCTCCAGGTCAGTGGCATGGGCAGTGGGGCAAGCTAAACCGGCTGCTAAGTGCCCTTTTCAGCTTGGAAGATTTGGTATTGCTCCAAGATTCACGGTCAGTCGCCGCCCCAACATCGCAGACAAAGATGCACGAGTCAACTGACCAGTTGCTAGAATAAAGGAAGCCCAGCGAATGTACGTCGTACTCTTTTATTCAAGAACACAGTATCTTATTACGACTCTAAAAACAGGGTCAACGAGCTATTGCAGAACAAGGACGAGTAAGTGTACTCGACGCCCTTGATACGCAGCAGCGCCTAAATGTTGTCTAGAGATAAAGATAAAGTGCAAGAGGCATGGGACAGAATTAGGCTATTAGTAGAGACGTATCCGCTGCCTGGTCAGGACGCCGTTGATCCAAACCTTGCATATCCGCCGCTTCCCGGCGTGTAGCATGGAGAATGATAGTTGATGAGCAGGGTACATATCTCTAAATGGCTCATTCGTATGCTACTCCTCCGAGCGTTGACCCTAAAAGCAAAGATTTTCTGCCCGAACCGTCGGAATCTTCGTTCAGTCCGGTGCAACATGCGTGTCAATCACCACTGTCTCTGCTAGGACTTAATCCGTCCGCCAAGAATGCGGTTGAGGGTATACTCGCATGCAGTCACTCGCTTAGGCGATTCGGTGCAGAATAGTGGTGGTCTAACACCCCATGGGTTCCACGACGGCGCTGAGCGTCGGCCGGCTGCGGCGCTAGATACGCTGCGTACGGCCCGTTTCCTGAGTACTGAAGAGCTGGGAGTATGTCGCCTTGTTCAGGCCGTAAAGTAGCTGCTGATGGGGATGCAATACCATTGGGCAGATGAGTTTGCTAAAGCGGTCTGGCTGGCGGGTCCCGGCGGATCGGATCGTAGTGCCCACCGGATCTGATACCCGGAAAGCTTGCGGCTTAGCGGCGGCTTGCCGCCATGCTGTCGCTGTGGACAGTGAATGTCCCGTGGAGCTGCCCGTAGACGTAACAGAAGCAATATAAACGCATCGCCCTCAATAGTAATACTAGTTTGCACCGTGGCGATAATAGATCGCGAGCAGGAATGGGCTCATTATTGCTGGCCGCCAGGCCGGGCAGCTGAACGGCATTTGGGTCGAGTTTCATACCTCCTATTAGCATTTTACGTTTATCACCAAGATTCGTGACACGAGGGACGATGTGCTGGTACAGGATGAAAGGCTTACCTACAGCAGTCATGGCCTGCATGCTTGGTTCCAATGGCGCAGTGGTCGATCAAATTGTATCACCACGAGTAGTTAAATGTTTGATGTGCGTCAATTGACGGCCGGAGCGGGCTTGGATTTGCTGCCTAATACGGGTAATCTCGGCTCGCTGGAGTTGGAGTATAAGTATGGCCCCTTACTCTCCTGCTCTGATGCTGATTCCTGTTCTTGACAGTCCCAATCATTCATTCACCTCTCGTAATGGCGCCTCACTGCCCCCAATTCCGCTCAATAAACAACAATCCATCTCTGTGTTCTGCATGGATCAAATCTGAGGACCGCTGCTGCCAGAGACAGATCTCTGCTTCTGATAAGAAGAAGAGAGACGACCTCTTGCTCATCTACCAGAGAAATTCGCGCCACTTGAGCATTGAAATGGAGCTGTTCCGACTTTTCTTCTGTAATGGTTGGCATCGTCCTGGAGGGAGATATCCCATCAACGAGTCGGCGCGAGGTAATATCGTTCTACTTTTACAAGCAGAAAATACTCATCCGGCGCAACCGCGAGGACATCATGATACCGCTGGCGCAGCGGGGTGGGAAAATAGCTCATCCGTAGCTCGTCTTGCGGGGAGAGACAATGGGCGTGAGGCTAGGCAATCTTCACCTGCACAACAGCGTCAACCACCTGCCCTCTCTGAGATGCTCTCAACGAAAGGCCCACACGAGCAAGACAGTGGTAATACTGCCTAATCACTCGTTCACCGATTGAAGCTTACCAAGGACACAGAACGTACAACGCCATTTGCTGATACGGAGGCTCCTTCACGACAGCGCAGACAGCAAGGCAGTTTTGACGACAACCGTGGCTACCGCCGGAGCGCCAGAATCCAACAGCAGCAGCGTGCGGCTCCTATTCCCGCTTCGACAGCAAGTCCCCACCCGGCACTTCTTCAAGGTGACGAAACCCATGTTGCACCTTTCATTACACGCCGTAGTCCAAGACGACTACCGGCTCGAAACTTTGCACCGGCGTCGGTCAGGCGCGTTGATCCCAGACTTTCCCAGGCGGTCGAAGTCACGAAGGAGTGCCCAATTTGCAGAGATGAGCTTGCCACTGCGCAAAATGTGGCTAGATGCCGCAGCTGCAGCAATGACTATCACATCAAATGTGTATTTACTTGGCTCTCAGCTAGCCAGAAGTGCGCCACCTGGTAAGGGTCCTCAGTTGTGAAACCTTGCCCTTCACTAACATCGAAGCAAAGCCGGATGGAGGTATCTCAAGCAGATATAGATGGACTCAGGGACGTCACTGCTGTCGGAACCTATTGGCGTGCAATAGCTCGTTGCTGAAGTTCGTCTACTCGGCAAGGCTCAATGGCAGCAAAGAATTGGCATCCCCTTAGTCCAGTATAAAGGAGCGCACTCTCTATAACCTGTATGTGCGGCGATATTGGGCCGTCATTTATCCGTCACTAGTGAATGTCATATCAACTCCAGTCCGAAGCCGATCACTGTTTACTACTTTTACGAACCCGCGTCCTGAAGTATCTAGTCCCTCTCGACTTCATTACTCGCGGGTATCAGTCTGACCTTATGTGCCACTGCCAACTTGCCTTCATTGAAATGATTTTGTTCAGCGACGCTTCTTTGCTTGCACCGTGTCCCGGCGAGAATACTCTCCTCAACAGCGAAACGTTAACTGTCAACCCGTGACTTCATCACAGAAAGTTCGCCTGCGGCTAATCCTGCCTCGTCATTCCGCTCCCGAGTAGTCCAAGCGACGAGACTTTTTCCCAACATGGTTAGACTCCTCCCACCTTAGCGAGCCAATACAGTCACGGACCTCGTGCCTTCAAAGAGGCACGGACCTGCCCCTCTGTAATTGTCGCTGATTGGGCCACAAGACGATTATGTGAGCAGCCAAACTTCAAAAGGGGAGCCAGATTCGCAGTCAAACTGCAAGCGTGACTACCAACTTGGCTACCAGCTTGTCAAACCAATAGGTCCGCAGTGTCATTTGAGGAGCAAGAATTCAATGAAAGGCTGCGCAAAATCGTGCATCTTGCTCAGAAAATTGATATAACTATTGTTCTTCCGGGATAGTGGCAGCTGCTGCAGGAGTAGGGCGTCCTGGCCGTTGCGCGACATAGCATTTGACTACAAGCATAATCGCCAACTATATGCCTTGTCCAGGTCTCTCTCTCAATAGAGTATTTCTCTAGCGCCATTCTGAATCTCTTCAGCCGTCTGGTTGTCGCCCTCCTTCAGTATGAATTAATACGCAATATTGTTATAGTACTTGACGACAGTGCTCCGCTCTTAAAGACATTGCAAGCCAGTTTCTTATACCTAGCGTATCCAGCGAGAGGCTATTCAGGCCCTTGGCAGCATTCCTGTAGTGGCCATATTTGCTCGAGAATTTCAATCCGCGAAAATGCGTATATATCAGACAAGGTACGAAACATATCTAATGTGGCATCTGAATCATATCTAACCCACCCGCCTCATGCCTCAAGCGGCACGAGCACGAGTGTATTTGTATGAGCTCATGTAAGCGTCATTAATAGCTTGCAGTAAGGACGAATAGTTATGATATATGTATTATCAAGCTATAAAGGGTCCTCTATCGATACATGGAATGTATACAGCCTGTTAATCTTGTCCAAATTTCTCTCGCTATTGGCTGCTTACAAATATGGACTATCACTCGGACACAAGGCTTTCCTGTTGAAACTGGCTCATATTATGGGCTATAGCTGGTCTCAACATTCAAACAAGCATCCAACCCCGCCATCTAGTGTCCGTGCCCTTAACGACTTCCAATATCCACCATCCGCTACGGTCGACCTGACGGCCCATCGAGCGACCTAAATGCGAAATGCCACTGCTGGGAGGGCTGCTACGGCAAAGCGAGCTCGTCCAGGCACAGGGAAGGAAAGATGCAAAAATGGGTTATTTCTATCTCTTCGGACGTAAAATATGTGCCTTTTTGTTCGCTCGAAGTTGTTTATAGATCAAGTCGAGCGAGCGTGTCCTCGACCGCCTCTTTTTCTCGCGTACTGCCATCGGCATTTGTATCGGACTGTTCGTGACCGGCATGGCCATCGGCCACGTCTTTCGAGCATATGCGAATGCCATGGCGCTCCGAGTTAGCGCCGCGATGGCGACCCTGGTCGCCAGCAACGGCGCCGGCAGCATGGCTCTTGCCCAACCCATCGCATAAGTCCAACTCGTTCCGCAGTGACCTGAGGCTGCGCATAAAGTCATCTACCGCTGGAACTGCGCTCTTCAAATGGGCAGCAAATACATAAGGGTGAAAGTTTTGAGGCAGGTGAATGTGCACGCCGCAGCAGTGACACGACGAGTAGCTCATCGTATCGTTTACTGCCGTGCTGCAATGGACTGCCCTGTCCGAGACGGACTGCCGCCGAGGGCCTTTATCTGATTTATATTTCCGCGCTCCGTAGTCGTCGATGCCGGTCTTTTCGTCTCGGTAGGAGCTGCCGCTGGAGTTTGACGCCAAAGACCCCGATGTGAGTAGTGGCTCTCCGGCACCGTTGTCTTTGCACACGAAATCGCGCAAGTTCCTTCGCTGTCGACTTCTATGCCAACGCTGTCGTTGCTTTGCCAGTCGCTGTCTGGATTTGTTCAGTGGTGGTGAACGGCACGGTGCCGCAGAATTATGTTTACCTGACGCTTCTTCTTCTCGCACTTCGAGACCAAGCATGTTGAAAAAGGTGAGGTTGGACTTGCCCATAGTTCACGCTTTATGGATGTGATTTCGCCGACCGATATATGGCTGGTCGCCTCGGAGTTCTCAGGGTACGGGCCGAACTGTCAGATATGCATGCTTCTAGATATACCTTTAATCCGTTTAGTGTACAAGCCCTTATGTTGACACTGCGCATAGTCGCCCACAGCCGGTTCCCCTGCGTGTGCACGCCTTCAGCCGTCGAACACCTTGCCCTAAAATGGCCGCTGCCTGGCGTTCGGTTCTGGAATGGTGCTCTACAGTAGGGTGCAAATGACCGATAGGAACTGCCCTAGTGCACTAATGGCCGTAAGGTGTTGCGCGAGCAGCAATGCAGTGGCCTCCGGCCAAATGCCGACTTGCAGCAACTTCGAGAATACGGGCACGATCTCCTCTCAATCAACGCGCAATCAAACTTCCGTACGTGTCGTAGGCGTGCCGTACACCGTAGTGCCCGTAAAGAAATTGTACCTGTCGCACCAGTCACCAAAAGTGGAGGCCACCTCCGCTAGAGGCGACCGGTACAGTAGTATCATGGTACATGTAGACACCGACAACAGTACCTGGCGGCAAAATGACGCGTATAGCTGAACAGCTGGCAGTCGCAACGATACTGTAGCGATGACGACGGAATGAGCAAAACAAAGTTGTAGGAGTACCGGCTCATTGTACCATTTATAGGGCCTAATGCTGATGACCAGCGGCGAAGGTCTCAATGGGTTCGAAAGAGACATGGTGGAAATTTTTAACTACATCCTCTGCGACGAACAGCTTGAGGAGGCAAAAAAAGCAAGCACTGCGAGAACTAGGGCCAGGACTGGTGGTTATCCAGGGCACAAGCGAGACATCTTGGGCTTGGTCGGTGCCGTGAAGCCATGCGATTTGAAAAATGAGACTGGACACCTCACTGACAATACAAACGGTTCCTATAACCAATTCTATCGATCCCGCTGAACCGCGTCAGAGACATGATCTGGTAACGGCGAACGTGAGTCGCCCCGAAGACGATATGCCTTGAATACGAGACACCACATGGGCGGATTTGATGCAAGCTTCTGATCTGTTCACAAACGACAACAGGGCAGGGAGGCAGTCCGTCACCTACAAATTACGCAGTACATAGAAGGATTCCAGTTATCTGGCTGAAAAGAAATCTGTGCTAGCTCTTTCAGAGCCCGGAACGGCAAGGTCTCGCGAAGAGAGCAGGGCAAGGGGCATGATGGTTTTTAGGGTGCATGTGTTCTTATTCCTCCTCTTTCCTTTCTACTGTACCATTCTCCCATTTATGCGCCTCGCACTCTCTTCTTGAGTCTTCCATCTCCTTCCTTGCTGACTTACTAATGCATAGGCACCCTCTCTCCGCGTCAGCTTGCCACGTCATCCCACTTTCATCCTGTCTCGTCCCTACACCTTCAGCTAGCTATCAGGCTTCAGGACCAAGTCTTAGACCCTTCTTCTCGACACACCCCTTAGCTGTTGCCTATCCCTAGCAGAGGGAACAGATACAACCAGACTTGCAAGGGCAACCTCAGTTGAGCCGGGCTAGTGTTCGTGTAGGTCGTGAGACGGCCTCATTCGGTGTTCCCTACAGTCCTTGATCTTGTCCTTCAGCTCCTCCAGCCTAGCCTCCAGTCTCAACCTTTCACCAATCTCTTCAAGCCCAATCAGCCGAAGGAATTCCGCTAGCTTCTGCTTTGGGAGAGCTTTCGTCAACCCATCGGCTCGCATTTCAGCTGTTGGAACCCAACGAGGGCGTATTCTGCTTCCTTGCACTTCCTGACGTAGCCAGTGTTGGTGTATATCAACATGCCGTAGCCTGGTTGACAACTTCGGACTTCCTTCTTGTAGGAGCCTTATAGTCTGCGTGTTATCGCACTCGACTACCAACGGCGACGGGATTTGTAGTTGCAAAGAACGGAGCAGTCTGCTGAGGAAGATGGCTTCCTTTGATGCTTCTGAAAGAGCAAGCAGCTCTGCCTCTGTGCTTGATGTAGCCACAGTAGCTTGCTTTGATGCTCTCCATGCGACAGATCCTCCAAACAGGGTCATGACATATCCCTGGGAGCTCTTCCTGTCGACTGAATTGTCTGCAAAAGATGAATCACTTGAACAGAGGAAAATCTCTGCTGCAGCCGGCTTTCTGGTGCCCCTTTTTGTGCTTCCGGTACTTCCGAGGCGTAGACCATATGATCGTGTGGCATAGAGGTATAGGATCACTCTGTCTGCTGCCTTCTGATGTGTCGGGCCTGGATTCTGATTGAAGCGGGCTAGTCGGGAGACTGCAAAAGCGATATCTGGTCTTGTTGAAATTGCTGAGAATAAGAGAGATCCGACTTTCTGAAGGTAGCTATGCTTGTCTTGGTCTCTTGCTTGGATCGGTTCTGAGAGGAGCTCTTCGTTGGTGGCCATCGGGGTGCTAGGAAGCTTTATGCCTAGTTTGTCCGGAACATACTTATGAGCGATCTTGTCGATATAGGCATCTTGCGTCAGCCAAATCGTCCGACTAGGTCGGTGCCTAAGGATACGGATCCCTAAGAACCACTTTGGTTCCCCTAGTATGCTCATCTTGTATCGTTGCTGCAGGCCGGATATAGCTTCCGTGGTGATTTGCTGGTCCAGTTTTCGATAGGCCCAGATGATGTCGTCGACATAGAAGAAGACGATGACGGCTCCTTTCATCATGACGCATGGTTCCTGAGGGACTGTCTTGAAGCCTAGCTTCTCGAGGATGCCGTGAGATGCTGTTGCCAAAGAAGGGGAACGGCGAAGTCCATAGAGGGCTTTTCGTAGCCGTAGAACTTTACCCCTCCTCTCAAAGCCAGACGGCATCTTCATAAAGACGACTTCTTCTTCCTCAAGAGGGCAATTTACAAATGCGTTGATCGCGTCCATCTGATCAAGCTCAAGGTCGTATTCAGCTGCTAGAGCCATCAGGGTCCGGAATGACATCCCTGCTAACGTTGTGGCTCTAGTCGGAAGGTCTCCTTTTCTTGCTGGTTCCCACAGACCACAAGGCGGGCTTTGCACTTCGAAGGATCCCGTGTTTGTCGGTCTTGTACACAAAGACCCATTGAAATCCAAGAACCTGTTGTCCTCCGGCTTTCCGAGGAACTTCCTCAAAGGACCCCATCTCTTCGTGTGAGGCTAGGTGGTCTCTTTGGGCTTGCATGAATTCCTCTTTGAATGGGTGCCTTTGGAGCTGCTTCTGGTTCAATGGTGGATCCGGGAGATCTCTCTTGTGCATCTTCTTCGGGGTCGGTCTGAATTGTCTGCCTGCTGTGAAAGCTCCATGGCATCCGTCTTCAACAGGGGTAGGAATAAAATCAGCGAATCGGTCAAACAACTGGTCTTCCTGGTCTATCCCTGTCTGCTCCGATGCTTCTCGTGCTTTTTGAAGGAGGGTCGTAAACACAGCGGGGATGTCTGGCGAGAAGGTCTCATTATCCACCCCCTCAGGGGTAGCAACAGGAAGCTGAACTGAAAATGCTGAAAGAGTGTCTTCTTCTTCTTCTGAAGCTGGAGGTGTAAGGAGTGAAGCCTCTTCAAGTTCAAGGGCTTTCTCATAGTCTCCTTTTTCTTGTTCCTGGTCACGGTCTTCGTCTTCAAAGTCGTCATAGAAGTCCTCGATATCTGATTCGGTATCGGTCTCTTCATCGAGGGCTACTTCCTTTGCTTGTTGATCCTCGGCAATTTCGATCTCCTGGACAAGCTCGTCGATGCTATCTGAGAGCGGCTGTTGAAGGAGCTTTCCATCAAAGTAGGAGTATTCATCGAAAATCACATCCCTTGTTGAGATTACCTTCCGTAAAGAGGGAATCCAGATCCGGAAGATATTCGTTGAGTTGTATCCGACAAGGTATCCAATGTGTGCTCTTGGATCAAGCTTCTGAAGACGTTTTCGTTTCAACTGTGCGTTTGAAGTCATCGCGTAGGCCTTACAACCGTAGGCTCGAAGATGGGCAAGCTGTGCCATCTTTCCAGTAAAGAGCTCAATTGGAGATTTCCATGACTGGCTTGCACCCCTCAGGTCAGATGGCACTTTGGGCTCTCTTGGCGTTCGGTTCCGTAGGTAACATGCTGCTTCCACAATTTCCTTCCACAGGTCGTGGGGAAGCTTTGAGGCAATTCTCATGACTCTAGCCCTTTCTGTTGTTACTCCTCCGGATCGTTCGGCACCGCCGTTCTGAGCCTGGGTGTTTGGTGCAGAAGGTGCAGCTGAAATTCCTTTCTTTCGAAGCCAGGATCGAATCTTCTTCGTAAAGAGCTCTCCGTCTGACCGGATTATCTTGACAGCAAAGCCGAAGTGCTCCTTCATCCAGCTGACGAAGTCTCGAAGGGCGGCCCAGTTGTGTTTCTCTCTGTACGTCCGCATAAAATAGGGGAAAACCATGCCTGAAAAGGCGTCCGTGATAAACATCACTCGGACGAAGTCGTTATGACTGCGGGAAAGGTCGGTCCAATCGATCCAAACCTCATGGCAGGGCTTGTCTTCTCTAACGGGAGTTCTTCGTGACACCTGCTTTCGAGCTTTTCCTCGGGCGCAGTGCTCGCATTCAGCAGTCTTCGGGCCCTTTATTTTGACTCCTTGTTGGAGACCTAGCTTATGAAGAACTAGTGGGCCTGGATGACCAAGGCGTGCGTGCCAAAGATTGCCGTCTCCTTGGGCTGCTGGACGAGGGTCTCTTGTGCTAGCCCGCGTTACAGCTTTGAAGATTGCTTCTTCGTTGAAGTCCCCTTGCCAAATCGGGTTGAATTCGACAACAAACTGATGATGCTTTCGGAGAAGGATACCAATGGTCTTATTTCGCTGGACTAGTCGGGTTGGCTTAGAAAGAGTATCCCAATGGATTCCTTCCTCTAGCAGCTTGTTGAATGAGATCAGGCTCGTTGAGAATCTCGGGCAGTAGGCAACATTTTTCAGTTTAAGCTTTCGGTAGGATCCATCAGGCATAGTCATCTTGTAGTTGACTTTCCCGTATCCTTCGATTCGAACCTCTGATTCGCCTGTGACAACATAGTCTTTCTTGGCCTTCTTGAAGGAACGGAATCGGCTGAGATCGTTGCAGATGTGAAGGAAGCTCCGAGTCAAGAAGGAAGACCGGCGTAGAGGGTAGTCCGAAGAGGCAGCCGTTGTTCCTGACGAAAAGACGAAGGCTGGGTTCGCTGTACCAACTATTCTTCCTCGTAGCTGTAGTTGCTAGTTCCGACCGGCCTTGATTTCTTCAATCTTCTTCTGAAGGTCAGGGCTTTCGCCAATGACTCTTTTGATCTTGTCGGCGATCCGTTTTGGAGCCTTTCTTGAATAGCTTGGTCGGCGGTCCTCAAAACAAGCCAGCAGCCCTTAAGTTCATGGCCGGTCCTCTTGCAAGCTGGACAGCGGTCTTGATCTTCATTTTCTTCTTCGTCTGATGCGGGAGATGCTTTTCTCTTCTTCCGTGTTCCGTCTGTTTGAAAGGCGCCTCCTCTTTTTAGAGGTCGAAGGTGCTGACTTGGGCGTTGTTCTTCGACCAACTCTCGGATCTGCCGGGCAACTGACTGGAAGGTCCATCGTTCTTGTGGCTGATTTCGATCGTGAGGTGTTTGACGACGAATGGAAACATCTGATCGCGGGCGTAGCTCTTTGTAGACTCTGTGCTGAGCTGCAGCGGCGTCTTCATCCAGGACTTTGCTGGCGTTCTTGAACGAAGTAGCAGTACCGTCACTAAGAGGTCTTATTAGCAGAGCAATGTCTCTCAGCCATTGTCCGGTCAGTGCTTCAACAAGGAAGTATTGGTCAGCTTGTTCAATAATTTCTTCCCACTTGGCCAACCAGGAAGAAACGGTCTGCTTCGAAAAGGACCTCAGGTGGGCAGTATATTGGCTTCTGATTCGGTCAGCCATAAACCCTCTCGACGGTGCGGTTGAGTCCTCGAGCTTCTTGATCCATTCGTAGAGACTTTCATCCTCACGCAGAGAGGTTAGCTTTGCTGGGCTAATCGACTCGGTAATGACAGTCCGAGCAGCTGTAATCAGCTTGGTTTCATAGAGATACTCCTTGCGAAGACTCTCATATTGGCTAAACATGGCTGCATATGCTCTCTGCTGCGCTGGGGTTTGTTCAGCAAATTCATTAGCATCAGCAGCAAAATCCGTATAAGGAGGACGAATGGGGGGTTCCAGCGGGCTGTTGTCTTCATCAAATAACAGCTTGTGAATCGTCTTGTCAGTATGAGCTTTTAGTTCTTTGATCCACTTATCCCAATCTTGGGGTTCCCGTAGGATCGTTCGTTGGGTGGAAGTCCCGGTCTTTGTCATCTTTGCTGACGGAGGGGTGAGGATAGGTGTAATGATCAGGTGATCGGTGCTTCTGGCAGCAGCCGGAAGTTACAGAAACGTCTGTTTCTCCCGGGCTCATAACTCTCGCGAAGAGAGCAGGGCAAGGGCATGATGGTTTTAGGGTGCATGTGTTCTTATTCCTCCTCTTTCCTTTCTACTGTACCATTCTCCCATTTATGCGCCTCGCACTCTCTTCTTGAGTCTTCCATCTCCTTCCTTGCTGACTTACTAATGCATAGGCACCCTCTCTCCGCGTCAGCTTGCCACGTCATCCCACTTTCATCCTGTCTCGTCCCTACACCTTCAGCTAGCTATCAGGCTTCAGGACCAAGTCTTAGACCCTTCTTCTCGACACAAGGCGGCGCTTTGTTCGAGATTTATTGATGTTGCTAGATAGCTTTTATCTTCGCAGACGAAGAAAGCCACCTCATCGGGATGTGTTGCCGATAGAGCTCATAAGAGCTAATAAGTATTTATATAGTGGGTCGTAGCTGGGGATAGCTTGCCTGATATAAAACCATGTACATAGACTGAGATCTCACTGCGTCTCTAGTGTCGAGCATCTAATTGGAAACAAACAATTCTCTGAACTCTGTAGACAGCTCAACTGGGACACACAACAGCCCAAACAATACTAGTCGGGCTGATATTCCAATTCCCTAAACTCGAAATCTTTATGTAGATAATTGCGAACGGCTCGACGCAAACTATCACGCACGGCCCCTCCAGCGGACACTGTTTTATATCGATTAGCGATAGAGACACATATGGTCATTTTGGCCGCCAAGGAGCACTTACCGAGAACAAGCGTCTTTCCATATGGCCCTCTGATCAAACTTGCTGATGCCTTGTCGGCTGTACATGAGGAATGTGCCGTTCTCAAATCGCTCTTTGTATTAAAAATAGGTGGCACATGCTCCTCCTGGATAACTCGCATCCTGCCTGAAGTAGAGTAAGCGACATTTCCGGTGGCCTCATTTTGGATGATAGACTGAATATCCGCTTTCCCTGGATACAAAGTATAACGACCATGCTGGCTTGCCTCCCTCTGAATGTCAGTTTCAGTGTAGACGGATATATACAGGATCTGCAGACAGTCAATATGGAAACAGAGTAGACGGAGATACACTTACATAGCTCTTTTCAGATCGGTCTTCATCAAGTATGCTATTGATAATCGGCCCAACGGCTTGGCGAAGATCTACATGCAGTCAGTATGCATTTTAAGCAGTTGAACCATTACATAGCCTACGTATAGTGTGCCCCTGCCAGATCAGATGGATTCTCTTCGTATGGCCTTTCCTCTCTTTGTATCCGTGCCATAGTTTCCTGAGGTATGGGAGCATGGGCACTATGCCAAAGCCGGTTGCGAACAGGAGGACGCAATCGAATGTCCATACTGGCACACAATTTCCGTGAGGACCACTAAAAACGACTCTTGACGAAATGTGTTGCGCCGATTCTACCTCCGCTCGGCGATGCAATTGTCTCGTAAAGCCTCCCCTTGGTTCTATGGCGAAATCAATCGTGGTTTGTGGTTTCGATGACCACGAAGTAACGATAAACGGGTGGCTCGAGAGGAGAGATACCGAAGGTACCCATAAGTTGAGGTATTGACCGGCTTCGATCGTGACTGGCCGGGATAACTTTATCGTGACCAGGACGACTCCGTGGCTAAGACGGACCACCATGCGAGGCCACGGATAGCCCCATTTTTTATTACGATAGAGCGTTAAACCCAAATGGGTTATTGCTAAAACAAGACAGATGCCACTGAATATGAACAACGGGCTCCAATCATAATCTTCGATAGAGCGGAGATGCTTGACCGTGGCGAACGCAACGCCGGTGGCGAGCGTCTGATGGATACGGAGAAAGAGTTCGTAGGCCCAACTCCTTATCAATGGGATGGAAAGAATCACAAGAGAGAGCACGAGGACTGCCCCCTATCTTAATGTAAGCAATGATTATCGAGCGAATTCATGGGAACAGGTCGGGGGTAATTACTGTAAGAGCATAAACCCTAGTAGTGTTATTCTTGGCGAGCATGCCGTGTGCCGCCAGGATCACCCCATGGAAAAGTATGTGGCCCGCCGCCATTAGGCCACAGGAGCGGTGTATACGCCTGAAAGTCTCCAGACGGATGCCAAATAAGTCAGAAAGAAAGCTAAGGTGTGGTCCCAAGAAAACAGGAGCTATGTTGGCAAGTCCCATATTTCCAGCACGTCCAGCAGCTTGCGCCCATGAGTTCACTCCGTAAGCGAGGCTCGCAATGTTCCCACCGAGATAGACCGTATGAGCCCCAACAGTTGCTATTGTCCATGGACCAAGGAAAGCATGACGGTCAACGAGGTGTCGATAACCTATAGTTCTCGCTGCAAAGACGACAAGGCTTTTCGAGACCACAATGGCGTGCGGAGCCACTTTGTTAGCAAGGAAAAGGGTGAGAAAAACGCCAAGCACACAAACAGCATAAATTTCCGTGGGCTTCATGATATTTGCACCGGAGCCGACGCCAATCTTCGAGAAGGGTGCGGCTCCTGAAGAGAAATAATGGGAGTCTCTCCTAGGCACAAGCCCATCAAGGCTTAAGCCGTAAGAGCCCTAGTGGACTTTGTCCAAAATAGAGCTGTGCTGACCAGCGAAACATGTCTCGCTCCAGGAATATAATCCGAGTGTCTTTTGAACAAACAAAGAGCAATGACAGCTGAAATCACTCAATTACAATGGTCAGCCGAGGCGCCGAATGCTGTCCTGATGTTCTGATCTATTGGCGTATACGCCAAGAGTACAGGAAAAGGTTGGCGCTCGGAGATCAGGCTTGGGAATTAGAAAATCACCAGTTTTCCTCGGGTCATGCCCGACAATGCGCACGTCGGCTCCTGAACAACGAGACCCTGAGGGCAGCATTCGACCCGATTCTTGAAGTTCCAGGCCTGAGAGGTGGTATGAGGATTAGCACCCTCCACAAATTATTTGGAACCAGGTGCCACGAGGTATGCTCCCTGTTCACGGTTTCAGACTTGATAAATGACCAGACCTTAGGAGGCCGCAAACTATCTCGCTCACATTGTCGCCACGTACTCCAGGATAGTACAAACCAGGGGAGCCATGGTCAAGCTGGCCGCTGAAGACGTGAGAGCGCTGGAGCTAAGATGCCCAAAATTCTGCACGCGAGACTCCGAAGAGATTAGGAGGGCAACTTACCGCGGTGAAATTTTCCGCTCTTTTAGCGAAGCAGAGCACGAGAAAATATTGAACGACATTGTCTCATTTGATTATATAATACCATCTCTGCGGACGTTTTTCCAGGATATCTACCTTCTCGATGACTGTGCTACAAGTATCAAATATCTGCTAAAACCAAATAAAACAACAATTCGCACTGCCCTTCAGTACAACTTCAGAGCACAGAGTCTCCAACAACAGCAACTGGCGCGAGGAACAGCATCAGCCGTGTCCTTCGACGAGGCAGTTCAATCCTTGTGGATATTCGCCCTGCGGAACTTTCTCAAACTACCCAAACCATCAGCAAGAAGAGATGGTAGACTTCTTGCAAAGCCGTTAACAGAAGAAGCGCACGAAGCAATAGTGCATAATTTCGCCAAGTTAGCCCAAAATCTAGGGTTTCGTTCGCCAGAGATCGAACGTCTGGCGCAGGCGCCAGACAGCTCCGAGGACAGCCAGGGATCCGAGCTGGGTGGTGACTTAACGGAACAAGTTCGTCTGATTGAGCATCACGACGTCGTCCCAACATATTTGGTGGTAAGCAGCGAGGACAAACCGAAACTACAACGACGTTGCGGTCGCCCAAGATACGAAACGTACAATCAAGCCCGGAAGTTTCTGAAAAAGACCTTTTTGCATTATAATTATGGCGGACTTGAGATTGACGGCCCCGATATTACGGCATTCTTCATCCTACGATCACAGTACCTCGCCTTCTTCAATATGTCTAGTCAGCATTGCCAGCACCACCAAACCAAATCGCCCGAGGTCGAACAGCAAAACCTGACCCCCGAAGAAGTAACATTTCCGCCAGCCGTCGGGCAGAGTATCTTGCCGTCGAGAGAGGATTCGGATTCGGATTCGGATTCGGATTATTCGGACGTTACTGTCGTGTCATTTAGTACTGAGAAGGACAACGAGGCAAATAGGCTCTCGGCGACGAGGGGAGACTCCGCCGCCATGACAGAGGAAAATCAGCTCCAGGTGCAGCAATGTACTGTCCAGGTGGCTTTCAAGACGTTCAAGGAGGGCATATTCATCACAGTCACAAAAGTCGACGCAGGGGACCCTCGCGCGATAGCAGCTACAGCAAGGGCTTTAATAAGGGACGAGGGGATGAAGCTCTTCTCGGTAACGTTGCAACCCATTACGGTCGAGAAATGTTTTGAAGAGGCGATAGACTCTGGACTGAATACCATCATCGTCCTTCCCGCAAACGATTTGGAAATGTCGGTCGCTCTTCGGCGGGCTGCTGGTCGGTTGCGTCCAGAGGAGTGGTAGCTGGCCGATACGTTTGCGCAGTGCGCAAATCCATGACCACATAAGCGGTGTTGCCATGCTTTACCTATAGCTGACTTCCTCCCGCCTGGCGTGCAAAGCCAGACAGGATTGGCGAGGCCGCTTGAATCGATCAAGTCTAGCTATTGTTTCAGAGAAGAACGTTCAGTGCGTAAGGCTGGATTCGGCTTATCAGATCGAACAAGAAGCTGCTGGATCAATTTTCAGATGGCTCTAGGTATATGATGCGCTTTGTAGCTTCCCGTGGGTCGCATTGCATCTTTGTCCTACTGTTTGAGTGGCTGGCTAGTAGTCTTTTGAAAATTTGGGGCTTCCATCATAGGCACGGTAACTCCTACATAGCTGGTTTTGGGCTAGCAATGAGATCTCACATGCCCCCTCACTTGTTTGCGCTGTTTCAGTGGGAGAAGGAGAATAACACCGCAACTCGCAGGGACAAATCAGCGTAGAAGTGAGCGCCGTACCCATCGCCACTATTGTCTGCGGCAAATATTGGCTTCGGTTTTGTACAACAATAGCCGTTTGTGAATGGGTAAGCCACGTAGCCAGTGAACCGTGGGGTGATGGACGACTCACTTGAGGCCGCCATCATGGAAAGTTCCAACATCATTGATGTAGTACGGACTAAATCAACCGGGCCAGGGTCCAGAAAACGCAACAAGAATGCAATAGGGTGTGGATAAATGTACTGTAGCGCTGCTTAACAGCAGCGGCGACTAATTCGGCGCCAGTACTTTGCTGTAACGAAGGCTTGACTGAAAATTACAACTTCAACAAAGGCACATCGCGTGCGTATTCACTTTTATTGAGAATAGTGTAGTCTGGAGTAAATTTGGTATCGCCTAGGTGTTCCAGTAGCAGAGCATCCCACTATGACTCTGGGGTTGCCCCAGCACTTCATAATTCGTCAAAAGAAAGACACTTGTACCGCCCGTGCTGGTCAACGCTACGCCGAGCAATCTTCCTCATTCATTTGTCTTCTTGAGGTTAGATATGCTTATTTATCAACTATATACGTCTTGCAAGATCACCCACAGACTATTTGCGGAGTATTTGCTGTCGCTTAGCAATGAAACAGCGAGCGGAACAGTGGCAGGTGCGAATGGAATATCGTCAAACATCGACAGTCAAGGCTCAAAAATGTGGCATCCGTCAAATTTTAATTTTCAAGACAGTTGGACGTACTCAACGCGATTCTCTGACGACCAGCTGCCATAAAGAGCGCGCATGCAATCATGGCTCCACCCTAAAGCTACAAACCTAAAGCGCGAATTTCATTGCTAGCACGCAAACTTCTCAAAAATAGTGACTGGAAAGCCATTAGTCGAACCGGCCGACTAGCTCGGATTTAACAAGCGAAGCCTCCTGATGATCTTTTTCGTCGACCACCTTGGCTCTCACCGGTCGTTCTGAAACTAATCCTGGCGTGAGGCTTTTAGCCAGTCCCTCAGTTCTACCCCCATTGGCTCTAATTCGATCAAATCTCCGCTCCATCCGTACCGCTGTTTCGATGATCAAGCGGTCCGCCTTATGCCTCTTTGTGCTTTGGTTCAAGATGACGTGGTCGCCGTACGTAAGGCTATCCTTCCCGGGGATCTTCTGCGGGGCTTTTGGATACAGATAATCTTTCGCAGCGCCTCGTCTTTCCCATGACTCCGGTCCGTTATTGTCCTGCCATCTCACCTTGATAAACATATTCCTTGAACTCGACGTCCACTGATCTTCAGCCAACGATTCCATGCGGCCAAAACCTGGGACATCCTTCCATGCCACACCTACGATCTTGTATATCGTACCTTTTTCAGCAGAACGACCGACTATCAAGGATTTTGATTCAAAGTTGGAAGATGGATTGCGCAGAATCTCGGAACTAAATCCCTTCCCAATGTAGTGGATGGAGTAGCGCGGCGCAGACTCGTAACCATGGCGATAAACTCCATAATAGACCCCCCAACCACCCTTGAAAGCAAATTCAAGCTTGCCAAGAGCTTGGGACAATGACATATCGTCAAAAGCACGGACGAGTCCAATATTGTCGTCATCACCATCATCCTGGGGCTCTTCTCTAGAAACAAGGGGCATGTCGGGCTGCAAGCCACTATTCCACTCCGATGGCTGTTGCTGTTCAGACTGGGTCCTAGACGAATGACCAATTGTGGCTCCGGAGTTTGCGGGATTTTCCTCTACGAATAAGCCTTTTTCTTGTGTGATGCTCGATGGTTGCCCTTGTACCTCGGTGCCGGCTTCTTGGGTTTCGGTTTCGGCTCGTTGCTCATCGATGTCTAAAGGTGACTCAGTATCTTCATCCAGCATCATAGCATTATCTCCATCCAGCTCCATAGCCGCTGATTTGGCGTCATCAACAAGCTTCCTTGTGATTTGTATCTGACTCTTAATATGTTGCTTCTCTTTGTCATCGGCATCCTCGTATTTCTTCTCGAGGTTTCTGAGCTGCTCTTGCAACTGGTCCTCTTTCTTTTTGGCGGCTTTTTGCGTCAATCTTTTACTGCTGATGCCTGTACTGCTGATGCCTGCGTTTGCCGCAGATGCGCCTTTCCGAACTACAGGGGTTTTTTTCTGGGGCGCCATGGTGGGTTTGCTGAAGATATTGCAACTTACTAGGAGAGATGAGGCCCATTACTTATATGTGTAAGTATTATGAGGACTGCGCTGCTTCGATGACTAGTTTCTGGTCTGAGACTCTTTGCGACTGTTAATCTACAATGGGTCCAAACTATATAGTGTTCAGGTAGAAAACAAAGTGTACTGTAAAAGCCAACACGCTCAATATGCACTCGATGTGCACTCGATGTGCACATGTCCTGAACCTGGCAAGCCCTTTGTCCATAAGTGGCCTGATCTTAGAAGAAACGGAATGGTTAATAAAGTGTGATCAAAGTCCCTTGGATGCATGATACGTCTGCGATATGCAGTGATGCCACAATGCCAGAAAACAATCGTCGTCATGATTCCAGCAATGTTGGCCAAGCCGACCACACTGAACTCGTGACTGTAGAAAATGAACCAGTAAAGTACTTATCTAAGTATGACGAACAGATCCTTCACATTGACAGGGAAATTGAGCCCTGGTTTTTCATCTCCGCTGGTATTTTTACCTGGTTACTACTAGCAGGATTCCTGATGTCTCCTTCGACGTACGCTTCTATGCAGGAATCTAGCGCTCTCCAGAAGACTGGACTAGTAGGAAAGTCTGTAATGACCGCCGCCCGCAACGTTCCTCTGATATACATAGCTTGCTTTGCTTGCCTAATTGCAACGGTCGGGCTGGTGATTCTTTGGCTCAAGTGGAAGAACAACATCATTTGGGTTAATCGCTACTTGGTCGTGTAAGCATACAAGCCTATAATGATATGGAACCATACCTCCGTTGCCCTAACATTTCAAAGTCCAACATTGATGCATTCAGTCATGGGCTTAGGATCGAGTCTTCTAAATGTCTACAGCATGCAGGATGGGCAGTGGTCTATTACCGCAGTCGTTACTGTTGTCGTGATAGGGTTGTGGTTTGTTCTATCCATAGCTCTGTTCATTTTGTACGACCGCATCATGATGCCTGCGCTAAAGAAGCAGCGCTGGTTGCCTGTTGCTGAGGAAAGGTAAGCGCACCGATGTTTATGTCAGAGGCCACTAAAGCCATGCTATGCTTGAATGCTATATTATTATGGTCTACCCTGGGCTTTGTTGAGGTGGGCTTAGATCCACTATAGATTGATGAAATATTATTACATTGGTACATTTCTGTAGTCTGGAATACGCTGTTGCTCAACAAGCAGGCGACCTAACTGGGCCAAGGTTGCCTAACCGGGCTAGGAAACCATGATGACATCACCCTCATTATCCGAGCAGGCAGAGCCTCAAGAAACCAGAGTAGTGAAGATCGACCATGGGCAGTAGGTGGTCTCTGCAGCACACCTAAGGAACACTATGCCACACTATTAAGAGCCAGGACTCTGCGACGGCACACAGCAATGTGACAGCGTGAACTTGGGAATTAGTCCGGCCATGAGTCGTTAGGCTAGCGAAGGTAAGCTCGTTCTTTGAACGGCTCTATCCTTGCCACCAGACGAGGGAACCCCCTCTTTCTTCTCTTTCTTTTGTCATGAACTTCTCGCTGGACCCGTCTAGGTGGAGGGTATAGCGCAAGGTTAACCTTCGCCCGCCCGGCTTAATTGAAGCTACTTTTGCAGTCTCCGACGACGGTTTTGTAGAGATCTAGAAAATGGCAGACTCCAATGCCGCGCTGGGACGTCCCGCTGACGAGCTACTTTTCGTGGCTGGAGAACAGGGAGACACGACGGGATTATCTCCGGGGAAGCCACCACAACCTGTATCGATACGTAGCATAGCACGTCCTGTGCACCTAGGGGACCCAAGCAGCATCGCGGCCGCTGGACGGAAAATACATCAATCAATCAATCAAGCCGCATACAGGCAGGAACGACTTCACCCACTATTAATCCCACCTTTCTCATTCAGACGAGACGTGGACAAGACGGAGATCGACAACCTGACAGCTCAGTTACGAGCTTGTGAGCGGGGAAGGTCGCCCTTTACGTAATGTCCTTGTATCGTTAATCGCACAGCAGGGAGTAATAAAGAGCTAACAGCCCCAAGCATTTCTCATCTTCGTCCGCGATTATTCCTTACATTGAAGCATTTGAATAGGTCCATCATGGCTAGCCAGGGACCCACCACTGAGGAGCTCAGGCAAATCCAGAGACGGATAAGCGACATAATGCGCAAATACACGATGGAGCAGGAAGAACGCCAAATCTTGCTCAATCTTATCCAGAATGTGTCAAGCGCCAACATACAACTAATGTCTCAAAAGGTCTCGAAATCGAAGGAGCGCAGACGACAGGAAGAAAGTGCCACCATGGAAGAAAACATTGCGCAAATGAAGCAGGATCTCGCCGAAAAGGAGGCGGAGATTGGAAGGCTGTGGATGAAATTGGCCGAGTTACAGGAGCGTGAGAGGGAGTTGACGGCGCCATCTTGAAGAGCGGGCGACTAGGAATAGAGGTCGGGGTCTTGTGCACGGCGGGCTTGACTCGTTAGGCGGACTTGCTCCAATGTTTTTTTCGTCATTTCATTAAGTTGACGAATTTTCTGAGCCCGTTGATCCTCGACGAACAGTCCATGTTTAACAAGATACTCGGTGTAGCGTTGAGAGTTTCGCATTTGAAGCTCAGCTCGTTGTGCAAGCGCCCGGTTCTCATCTTTCTTGAGGAAGTCGTTAACCACCGTCTCCCTGCATGCGTTAGATCCGTATATGTGTTCAAAGATGGACATCTGGTATATATTCAGGAGTTTAGAAGGGTGGCGAAAGATTTCCATAATGGGTGACACTTTTTGCACGAATTGATGCTGCACGGCTTCGTCTTCCAATCCCCAGTCTTGACAAAGCTGGGTGCAAGCGCTCGATGAGTTCCTCATTTCCATGAGAATTGTGCGGAATTCCGGAAAAATATCGCGTCGGGGAACACCGGTGTAGGAAAGGAGGGTATCGGGGTCGTGGCCCATAATCCATGGTGGCGGCGTGAATAATTGCAGCGGAATCGTCCCGGAGAACTCCCAGTCAATGATTGCGAGAATGTGGAAGTCATCGTCGACGAGGATGTTACCACATCTGAGATCCGGGTGGGCAAGTACGAATGAAGGGCTAGGCTCTTTGAAGTCGATGCACTTGGGCATCTCCTTCAGTAGACTGTCCAATGCGAACAGTTCCATCTTTGTTTGGTTGAGGCTGGGCTCCTGGACGGGTTGCTGAATCGTCTCTGACAGAAAGTTGCAATGATAATCTGCAAATTGCGCCGTGGATGTGAAAATCCTTGGGATGGCCAGCGTTGCGAAGCTTCCTGCGACTCCGTTATCAGCTATTGAAAGGAAGGGGCCAATTATGGGATTTGCTTCATCGATTGGATTCGGCATCAGCGAGCCTGCCGCAGAAAACTCAAGATTGCGTAGCTGCCCAAGAATATTAATAAGATCGATATATAGATTCTTCCTTTGTGGTTTTGTAGTATGCATCCAAGTATCAATATCAAGTTGCCGCCCGGATATGAATTCCATAATCATAAATGGCGTTGAAGCGCCTTGCACCAACGTGTCGTCTTCTCCGTATGCGTGGACACGAGGGATGCGAATCGAAGTGTTACTTTCAATATATCTGCGTGGGTGATTTCGTCACTAGAATTCCATCGAACAGGTAATGAGATTGCTCACTGCATCGTAGCCACCTCACTCAAGAGCTTGCCCCATGCATCACGAACCATAGGCACGATTGGGATCCTCAAAACCCATGTCTTTTCGTTGGGTTCGAAGCGAACAAAGAAGCAGATGTTAAAGCTGCCTTGATTCTCATCAATGATGCTGCAATCTCCTCCTCCACAGTGCTTAGAGGCCACATGGCAGACGGCATCCTTGTCGATTAGTTGGATGAATGCACCGTTCTTGGCTTCAACTTCCTCCTCTGTGAGGGGGAAGAAGATTGAAGCTTCTTGCTCAATCTGAGCGCTGGAGACCTGACTGTCTGTGGCAGCGGGGTCGTTTTCCTTGTCCTGGCTTGGTGGTGTCGATGGCAGAGTCGATGGCAGGCTGTCCGGGGAGACAAGTCCAGCTGACTCGCGAGCTCGAAGGCCATAGAACAGCCTTGCCAAAGGTGCGGACAGTGACGACAACTGTACATGACGAAAGAAAGGTGGCGCACGGCACAGTCGTATAAACTGTGCGGACAATGACGTCCATTGCGCCTGGAAAAAGCGTAGTGGCATGGATGCCATTCTCTTGCTCGGCTGCCTCTGGTAGACTGAATTGAGTCGAAGTGTCCTTTGCTTAGGGAGGAGCTACCCCCCGGTCACGAGATCCAGAGCTACGGGGCTACGTCTGTACTATCTTAACATTCACGACTTCCATGGTGGCCCAATTTGTTAGCAAATTGAGGTAACTTTCTTTGCGCGCGGCATTCCATTGGACAAGTGACCTTGTCGTGGCTTCTCCACACTCAAAGGCATGAGCATGACGGATAAAAGCTTGTCCGAGTAAGGTACATCTGTACTAGTTCCCTCCGTCTGACCTGCATCAAATGTGGAAATAAACTAAGAAGGCATATCGGTAAGAACAGGTCACTGCGGGGAGATAGGTGTTCACCACCCGAAGCAAGGCCTTGCATTGATAGACGCTATTATTGCAAGCAGTGGAGACATTCTAAATCACTTAGACCTTGCATTAGAGTACGGTCGAAACGAATTGTACCTCATGGTGACATTGATTGATTTGACTGAATGCGGTTGCCTTGTAGTAATGTTTCAGACAGCTGATCTCAACGTTACAGCCGACCGTGGTGTCACAGGTCCCGGGGCCGGCTGACCGGTCATCCGGTAATCGGATTACCGCCCCGCCCCATGCAAAACCATGTCGTTTTCGAAGGCCCGGCCCTGCGGGGCTGGCGTTTTCTTAGTCGGATTACCGCCATCGGACGGCAAAATCGAAGGTCCACGCCCGCGGGGCCCTGCGCGAGACCTTCGATTTCGGTCTCGCTCACGCGCGTTGCGCTCCACCTCCTCCCACCTCCCTCCACCACCTCCTCCATTGCCACCGTCGCGACGGCGACCGCCTGCACCATGTCAAACGCGATAGAGGATCCCCGGGTCAGGGCGGCCATTGAGCACTACCTGTTAGATCTGGAGAACACCCAGCCGAAGAATACGAAGCGAAATTATCGTCCCAAGCAGGAAGAATGGAAGGCAAGCCCGCATGCGCGCCCTGCAATCTTCATGTAGATCCATGCATTGACTGCCTCACAGGAGTGGTGTCAAGCCAACTGGCCTGCGATCCCGGACGTTTGGCCGGCCTCGGTACCACAGGGCCAACAGCTACCGGGAGACCTGGTCGATGAAGGAAAGCTCTTGCTCTTCATGAAGGAGGTAGTGGCATCACGTCCTCCAAAGAAAGGAAAGAGGGTCGCCGATGAAAGAAAACGACACCTCGAGGCTCAGGAAGCCAAGAGGGCCGTGAAAAGACGCAGAGCACCATCAGGTAACAGATGTTGATCACGGGATGTGGTCGTCGGACTGAGCCAGCCCATCATACTAACACCCAGCTTCCCCCAGCAGATACCATCGTTGTAGGCGGCGGAGGTAGCGAATACGAGTCAGACTCCGACTTGGAGTTGTATGAGTCCACGCTCAAACTACAGTATAATACTGTACGGGGCTACGTCTCGGCCATACAGAAGCTTTACGACGAGCAGAAGAGCCGGGAGTCAATCCTGCGGCCCGGCCACAGGAGTGGCACTGAAGGCGCTCAAACGCAGCATTCTTGCAACGACTTGGAGCCGGAAGAGGAAGGAATACATGGACAGGGGAGTTGGAACTCTGAGAGATGTGTATGCGCCGGCGCAGATACCCGACCACACCAACGTGGCATGGTCCGAGAGGAGAGAGATCGCCTGCGCCCTGAGGACGCAGGTGGACTTTCTGCTCGGGAACCACATGCTGCTGCGGTCCGGCAACCGCCTGCCGATGGAGTTGGCAGACTGCTTTCCCTGGACTTACCCAACGAGGGCTTCAAGGCCCAGGGTATACCACAAAGGCGCTGGTTGTCGTGATGAACTGTGGGAAGACCAACCAGCACGGCCGCATGGAGTATGGATCTGCTTTGCGGCATCGAGATCCGCGATCTTGTCTCATCGGCGCCCTCGCGTTCTGGCTTTTCTGGCGCTGGCAGGTAGAAAAGGCGGAAAGGTTTCCGTCTTCCAAAGAAGCGAAGACTGGTATGAAACGAAGGTGCTCCGCCGATCGGCGAAGGAGCCTCAAGGTAAGCGTGATGGCATTCACCGGAATCCCATAACTCAGAGGTGCATCGACCCTTTCACTCACCGAATATACAGCTCCGTTGTCGGGCCAGACTGCCCGAGAATGGACGTCCAGGTTCTACAAGAAGGCCGGCATCAAGGTCTCCAAGGTCAGCCACGCGCCTAGAGTGGCGGCGACGCAAAACGCCGACATGGCCGGAGTGGATGAAGGCCAGGCATGTCATCTGCCCTAGGCAAGCCGCCAACCCCCTGGCCTGGGCTGACCCGAACTATACAGATCCGCCGAGCCGGTCGTTGGAATAACGGAGACCAAATGACCGGCTGCTATCTGACTTCCTGCCTTTCGAATTCATGAGGGCCGTGGCCGACTTTGACCCTGAATGGTCGGGGTCTTATTTCGTGCCCCGGGCCACCGTGAGGCCGCCTGTGGTGCTACTCGTGCAGGTCTGGCCTCAACTCGACAAATGGAAAGAGGCCCACAGTAGCCCTTTCTCAGATCTGGGGTGGAGCAGAACATGGCCGCCGGCGCCTTCTTGGAACTCCTGGAGTGGCTTCGAGAGGTGCTCCTGCAGGACGCTGTCTTCCTTCGCGAGTCCTACCCCGACCATCCTATCTTTCAGGATCCGGTCTTCTCTTGCCCCGAGTTTGAAGCGTTCGCCAGCAAAGTTCAAGACACATGCACACGGGACCACGAAGACAGCCATACCACGGTCATTCAAAAGCGATCCCGGTGGTTGCGGAGAAGCTGCGCACAGTACTGACTCAACAGGTCGCAGCCGAGCAGTTAGCTGAGCGAAGACATCTAGACCTTTGGGGCTTCTTACGAACTATGCACAAAGTTGGATGAGTTTGCGCAGGCCACCTACACCGTCACCTTCAGCCCCGGCCAAGGTGCTGCAGGTCAACATGCGGAGATCGCGGAGCTCATCAACAGAGGCGCCGCGCTCCACGAGAGACGGTCCTCAGGTCCGAGATAGGCCCTTCGCAAGCGGGCGGTCCGACATACGCTCCGCTCTCTGAGCAGCAGCAGGGAATGGTGCAAGCGGGCCAGGCAAGCCCCCAGGGAAGAGCGCATGGCGAGCCGCCTGGGCCGCGCGAACCTCCGAGCTTCAAGCTCCCCGTTCTGTCAAATCTGTACAGGAGCTGCTGCGTCTCTGGCGGCAGGGCTGGGGCGAAATGCCTTCTGTGGATTCTCTTGAGCGAGACTGGGGTGCTCGATGGCGGCCATCTGCAGAGAAGAATTACTTTTCCACGCGCAAGATCATCGTCGATGAGGTTCGGAGGCGGGCCCAGTCGGACGGCTTAACTGAAGATATCGTGGCGAGGCAAATGGACGAAGAACGTGGACCCAGCTCTTTGGATAAGTTGTTCAAGGCCATCCGAAAGGACAGGCAAGGCGAAAAGGGACACAAACGTGCGTCGGGGCAATTCAACGTCGGTGGTAGCGAAAAGTCGATGGCGCAGTGATTTTGAACACCCGTCTGATAGAATGACGAGGACCTTGGCGGCGAAAGTGCCCCAGGCCGTCAGGGGCTGCGTCGCTACAGTCAGCGGTAGTGGCCTGTAGACAGGGTATGCATCCGCTAAGCGCCGCTGTAGCTCCAGCGCGTCAAGGCTAGAAAATGCTTCAAATCACCGCAACCTCGCAACCGACAGGATGTAGGACCTTAGACAGGGTGCATTCTGATCGCACAAACGCAGGCTATCCAGTCGAACTGGTTTTGTCGTCGTCGGTCCCGGCTTTCGCGCTTTATGGCGCTCCGAAGATGACATCAACCCGGCAGAGGTGATGTCAAGGGCAAGCGGGTAATCGGCGGTAATCTGCGGGGTAATCCGCTGACCGCCCACCAAAGCCGGACCTGTGACATCCACTTGTTGTCACCGCCGGAGGCTGCTAGGCCGGGCTGAAACGCGTTGCACCGTTTGTGTTTAGGTCACGCATGTGGATAGGTATGTGGCCTTTACTCGACTTGGTCTCCTAGGAGCCCCGATTCTCTTGCCAGTCAGGAGCTGCTGTATCGACCGTCGTCTTTTTTATCTCTTGCGAACCATTCGTAGGAAGCATCCCTGCCACCCATTCCTCCGCTACGTCCCTTTCAACATCTTTCTTAGGTGCTGCTGATTCCTGAATCAAAGGCAGCAAATTCGGGATGTACCGTTTCAAACATGGGTGGCTATCTGAGATCCGTTGTGGTCTCCGTCGCTCAGATCCTCGCGTATTTGCGGTGCGTTCCATCGTCGGTTGATTCATACTGTACATACCTACAGTACTCTTGTCAGCTGAAGCCTGAATTCGTAATAACGGGGCTATTAAATGCTTGTTTGTTCAGTCGCTGTTGCTGCCGCAGTATATCGTGGTTATGACTGAGACTGGATCTGCTGCGGTACAATGTAGAGTGGTCACACTTTGTCTCCGTTCGTCAGCTTTACGACTTGTATCGTTCCGGCCGGCAAGGCCAAATGTCTTGCAATAGACTGTCTATCGCCCCGGCATTGGAGTATGGAACATTGGCTACCCATATAATTAAAACAAACCAGTAGGTAAAGTGAGCATGTACAGCAGCAATGGCCGACTGTAACGAGTTTGAACATTTTGCACGCGGCGCATTTCCATGTGATTCGCTTCCTCTAGTACATTCCGCCTTAAAGTCTCTTGAGCGACGGTATCCGAATGCAGAGGATCCCATCCCAAAGACTAGCACGCAATGGGAAGAGTACGCTCTTCGAGTTTCAAATAGCCCTCCGGCAAACTTGTCATCGTCGCTGTTGAAACTCGCCAGCGGGGGAAGTCTTGACGTTGAGATAGTAAGGGAATACCTCGAACTTCTCCGGCAAGACGTCAGCTGCACCAAGATTTTCGACGTGCGGGATCTGCGAGAAGGCGCAAGTATCGCCGCTAACGAAGGCTCTCAAGAGCCAGTGATTATTCCGTATCATGGTGACAATCAGTGGGCCTTTGCGGTCGCATACGACGATGTCATTCACTGGTACGATAGCAAATCACGCGACGTACCTATATTCTCCGCGAGTGGCTCCAGAAGTGTTGTCACGAATTGGACGGGTCCTAAATCAGATGCTGCTAATTCTGGCGTTGTTATGCTTTTGGGTATTCGGTGCCTACAGAGGGGGTTCCCACACCGCAGTCAACGCGTCGCTGAAGGGATGGTGTCATCTTTCCGCTCCTATGTTTTGGTCGAGCTTCTTTGCCAGAAGCTAAACCCAGCTGTGGAGGATTTTGAGCAACTCCTAGCGCAAGAGAGGGAAAATGAGTCACTTTTCTTCCTCGATGCAACCCACGGTATGGACGAAGACTCCCAGCATCCAGCTGTTGCCCCTATCATGCCTCCAGAATCCGGCACATCCGTCATGGCGGCATGTTCACCAGACTTGAATCTGGGTTCTGAACAAGCACACCGCGTAGTAGGACCACAAAGCTTACGTAGCGCCCCAAGTCCCATTTGTCACGCACAGCCACGCCCATTATTCCCAGATAATAGGAGGGTCATACTCGATCATCTCAGCGAAGCCGTCCTAGCCAATAGATCTATAGGGATGTCGGCACATACCAACTTGGCAGTTTTGTGGCATTCGGTGAAGAGGGGCACGTTGGGCAGCGTCTTCCATGAAAGGTACCACGCAGTATTGTTTTATGATCAAATGAACCGACTCGACGACGACGGTGCATTAAAAAAAGCAATGAGTAATCAAGTCGACCTGCAGTGCATGAAAGCCATGAGGTCAGTGCAGTCACAGTGCAAGTTCTGGTACGACCTGTGCAACGTGTGCGCGAGCTGGGAAGGGAAATATACGCTCCTTCTGGCTCTCCCGGGCACACCATCGATTCGAGGTATGCGGAACGCAGAGAAGCGGCGAATTATTGCAGACATCCAATCTCGGCTTGACGAAGAGTCTGACCCCTTCAAGCGCTGGCTCCACCAAGCACAATATCTTTGCGCCGCCATTGTTAACCAAGAGCTCCCAGAAGAGAACTTAATGATTGACGTTTACCATCTGAAGTGGCATGAGACAATAGGGGACAATGAATATAGGGCATATACCAGTGTAGATCCGAGGTTCAAACTACCGCTTCCACGGTTAGCCACCGCGTACTAGTGAGACCATGCGGTAGTTAGCATCTAACGACACTGTGTAAGCCTTAGGAAATGGTAGTTGGCAGAAGCTAGGCCTAGCATCATCTTACCCCAAAGCTTAAAGGTTAGAAAATCTTAAAACAGCCGATATTTTGAGAGGCCGCATATGTCCGAAATACGAGAATGCGCAGATATTTCAAAAGAACAAGCGATTCTGGAGATGATGTTGTCACCTAGAAGGTTCGAATCCATCTATAAGAGCTACCTGCTGTTTGATGGGCAGCACAGTAAATAATTGCCCTGATATTGACAAGTGTGATGGATGCAACGAGGCCTCGCCAAGGAGCAGAGCATGAACGTGTAGAAGCAGGAAACTACTGTGCGCAGACGAGATCAATCGAGGCGCCATTCAGGAACTAAAACCCTATGTTTCAGACACCCTTTCGAAGTCCGTGTTTCAGTGCGAATACAGCGCTCGGCTTCATATGGCGTCCTTCCTGGACGCTGGTAATGTCAAGAAGAAGGGTCTAAGACTTGGTCCTGAAGCCTGATAGCTAGCTGAAGGTGTAGGGACGAGACAGGATGAAAGTGGGATGACGTGGCAAGCTGACGCGGAGAGAGGGTGCTGATGCATTTTGCATATGAATGAGATGAAGTGGGATGGATGTCTCTCCAACTAAGCTATGACTGCCTCATCCTTATGTAGGAGGCAGCCAGGTCGGACTATCTAGGTGATCCGGCCGGTTTACAAGGCAGCCACATACCGATGCCTGCTCACACGGCTGCCTGTTTCACACGGCTGCCTGTTTCACACGGCTGCCTGTTTCACACGGCTGCCTGTTCACACGGCTGCCTGTTCACATGGCTGTGCGTGCTGCAGCCGGTGTCCTTGATGCTTGGTGCCGTGCCCAACGCTCCAGTGTGCGTAGGGACACGCAAAAACGCATCATAATGCCGGCCTCAAAAAGAAAACTCCACTGTCCTCAGTGACTGCCTCAACAGAGGCTACATGTCAGAACTTTCCGATCGTCCCTTTGCTTTGCTGTTGCGAACCACTCGCGGTCCCGTCGTCTGCCCGTGGAACTCATCCAGGGCCTTTGACGATATCTCTTCCTTCCTGACCCACTGATCATGCATGCTGCCCCATCCTTTCCAGTGGACCAAATACTCCGTGACGGGCTTCCTGTTTCTTCCAATCTTCCTGACCCGTACGTCAAGAAGCTTGTCAACTTCGTAGAATTCGCCTTCCTGGTCCGTAAAGTCCTTTGTGGCTTCTACTGGTCCGGGGTGAGCTTCCTCAAAGCAGCCTTCGTGAGCTGGCTTGAGGTGGTGTATTGAGATCACTGGGTGGACCTTAATTTGCTCTGGAAGGTCCAATTCACAGGCCAGGTCTCCAACCATCCTTCTGATCACAAAGGGGCCTTCCCGCTGTTGTGACCACTTCTTGGGCGGCCTGCCTGGCTGGTGATATCCTACCGTACATTAGTTCATGGGCTGAGGTCTTCGTGCTGGTGTTGTAGGCTGTGTTTAGATGCCACTGCAACGAAGGAATAAGGGTCTTCCAGTCAAGGTTGGGGTCCTCAATGTAGGCTAGTCGCAACGCTGTTTCCACTGTCTGATTGCGCCGCTCGGCCAAGCCGTCAGCCTGCGGATGATATGCCGTTGTCATGCTGATTCTGGTGCCAAAGGCCTTCCAGAGCCCTTGCCAGAAAGCAGAGGTGAATTTGCGGTCTCTGTCACTGACTATCGTGCGCGGCATGCCCCAATCACATAGCATGAGCTGCCTAGCTAGGGAGGCTGCCCAGTCCTTGGCGCTATACTTTGCATTGCCTGGAATCAGTAGGCATCGCTTGCTAGCTAAGCAAGTGACTGTAAGTAATTGATTAAAGGCATTGAAGCCTTCAATATGCCAGGGTGAGCCCATAGCTG